GAAAACTATATGTAAGACTTAAAGATTTCGCGACTACTAAACTTCATCATCAGGGTAATTATCTTATGGTTGAAGCAGAGATGGTGTCCGAAATTTTGGGCTATTTTCCACAACTGAGGCGGGTTTTTTAAAGATAGATATTATTTACAGGAAAACTAATAATGATACTTTTAACAACGTCTTGGAGCTTAAATAAAAAAATCTGTTACGTTCAGTAAGAAAGGATATTATTAAAAAGGGAATATATTATTGTTGAAAGAAATATAAAAGCTTCTAGCCAAATTACGGACACATGCTTTGCTTTCACTCTCATTTTATGGGGAAACAAATAAAAATTTCAGCTCTGTACAGATGACGTCATTGGAAGTTACAGCTGGGTCATGAATTTGGGTCCGCTAGAGCAACGGGTTGTGCAATATTCATAAATATCTCGCAATATCAGAGAGTTTAACAAGTCCTGTGTGCGATTCGATCCATTATGTCAACAAAATATATACGTATGGTAAAATATCGCGACCACCCAGGAGTTTAAATATAATTTTATTTGAATATACTTGTATTTCTGAATGTACCAGGTGTTGGAACCTTTCGTAAATTCTCATACAATTGCACATACAGGCAAATCTATCCAAAAAAAAAATCTTTGCATTGCAGGGGTGCCTAATGTACCAGTGACAATAGCAGAGTTAATGTCTGTGTTAATCCTGTTATAAGATTATCCAGATGGACATCCCTGATATTTCATAGCCGATCTGAAGACCAAAACAATTTGGCTGAGGTGCAGATGCGAGGGGAAAGGGGATGTTTATAAGGTGCTGAAAGTATAAATTCTTTTCTGTGGTTGTATGTGAAATGGAGGGAATCTTTATGGTGATGTACTTTATTTGGCTTCTCAACTTTAGCCAAATGTGAGCCTGTTATCCGTACTGGATCACGCGGACATTAAGTGTGTTAGGTTTGGCAGAAAAAGGACTGGACTGTGTTTGGGCTGGCAAGCTGAAATGTTGCTGTTTTATAAAATTATTCTTACGGTTGGCAATTTAAGTCGTCGCGTCTTTGTAAATAAATTTATAAACTTTTAAAAAGAAAACTTCCTAGGTGGTCTCTATGTTATGGTGGTCCAGTAAAGATGTTAGTACCAGAGAGAAATTGCATCATAACTTTTTATGCTTTCTTTGAAAATACTGCACGAATTGAACGCATGTACGAGAGATCGCTTGCATCCATCCGTCAGCATATTTATTTTTCATGACGGATGTTTTGTGTCTACAATAAGATTTGTTATGTGAACTGAATTTTGAACCATATTGGTCTTAATTCGCGTGAAGAAAGTTGAAAATGTAATGTTGTTCCTGGTATTCAGCTAAGTACCATACCATTAAGACATATGGGGTTGTGTATATTGGTCTTAATTCGCGTGAAGAAAGGTGAAAATGTAATGTTATTCCTGGTATTCAACTAATTACCATACCATTAAGACGTATGGGGTTGTGGAAATAAATATCCAGTTTCTCCATTATATCTCCAGTTTCACCAATATGTCTCTAGTTTCTCCAATATGTCTCCAATGTCTCCAGTTTCTCCATTACGTCTCCAGTTCTCTATTGTCTCCAGTTTTTTATTATGTCTCCAGTTTCTTTATTATATATCTGGGTTCTCCATTATGTCTCCAGTTTCTCCTTTACGTCTCCAATTTCTTTATTATGCCTCCAGTTTCTCCATTACGTCTCCAGTTCTCTATTGTCTCCAGTTTTTTATTATGTCTCCAGTTTCTTTATTATATATCTGGGTTCTCCATTATGTCTCCAGTTTCTCCAATATGTCTCCAGTTTCTCTGTTATGCCTCCAGTTTCTCCATTACGTCTCCAGTTCTCTATTGTCTCCAGTTTTTTATTATGTCTCCAGTTTTTCCAATATGTCTCCAGTTTTTCTATTGTCTCCAGTTTCTTTATTATATATCTAGGTTCTCCATTATGTCTCCAGTTTCTCCATTATGTCTCCAGTTTCTAATTTATGTCTCCAGTTTCTCCTTTACGTTTCCAGTTTCTCCATTATGTCTCCAGTTTCTGCAATACGTCTCCAGTTTCTCTATTGTCTCCAGCTTCTTTATTATATCTCCTGGTTCTCCATTATGTCTCCAGTTTCTCCAATACGTCTCCAATTTCTCTATTGTCTCCAGTTTCTCCATTATGTCTCCAGTTTCTCCTTTATGTCTCCAGTTTCTCCAATACGTCTCCAGTTTCTCTATTGTCTCCAGGTTCTCCATTATGTCTCCAGTTTCTCCTTTACGTTTCCAGTTTCTCCAATACGTCTCCAGTTTCTTTATTATGCCTCCAGTTTCTCCAATACGTCTCCAGTTTCTCTTATGTCTCCAGTTTCTCCTTTACGTTTCCAGTTTCTCCAATACGTCTCCAGTTTCTTTATTATGCCTCCAGTTTCTCCAATACGTCTCCAGTTTCTCTATTGTCTCCAGTTTCTCCTTTACGTTTCCAGTTTCTCCATTACATCTCAAGTTGTTTGCTAGCCTTCAAATTGTTCATTATTTTAGCACTACGGCGTTTATATTTGACTCGGCCAGCACGTGTCCACCAGCCACCCTAGTCGTGTACAACAGTTTGACTTTTCCCATATCTACCCTTTGACTGCTTCTACCCTTGTCATAGCGTGTTTTCACTTCCACCCTAACAGATCTGATTGCGATAACCCTGTCGGGCATGTATCCACCCCAATTCCCTATCTTCGTGCCTAAAATTCCGTGGCTGCCTCATTCAATTCATTATACACTTCAATTGCCTGGTAATGTAACACGAAGATACGCTATCGATAATACTGCAGCAAAGTCTACACAGAACTATCGATTCTGCTCGTACACCCTACTTGCCTCATGTGATGTTTTTGGTTCTCATGGCGAGAAATATAAAGACCACTGTCTTATGGGGTTATACGCCGTGTATTATGATGGAAATTTACTGACGTTTCAGAGGTGCTTACTGCCTCCATCAACAAAGGCTTTAGTAAGGAAATAAAAATATATATTTTAAATATATTTGACAAAGATATAAGAGTCTTTATATGTATTACATTCTTCAACTAAGTTTTACTCACAAAATATATTTGTTTCATATGATTCTCACTGTGAACAGTGATTATTTATCCAAACAGCGTTTTTCAATTGATCTTTGTATTGGTGAAACGTTATTTTATTTGCGATAAGAATTAAATATTTACGTGTTATTTACATTAACTGCCTTGCTGTAGAGTTCACCACTAAATTACTTAAATTTCGATATTATAATTTAAACTTTCGTCAAATTCAGCATCTTTGTTACCAACCTTTCACTAATTATCACCCTAACATCTTCACTCTTACCAGAAGGCATTGGGTGAAAAACTTCTAACAATAAGATACTTCCCCCACCACAATTTATCTTTTTGATTTTTCATCTTCTGTACTCGTATATTTTCAAAGGAACGTCGTCTCTCACTTCGTAATAGCCATTTCATAATTTTTCCCCACTCGTATTTTTTAAGGTCTGTTGCTACTAAATCTTGTTCTTCAAAGCTTCTGTAATTTCTTAGGTCGTCTTTTAAAAGGAGGCCAGTTCACTTTTCTTGAGGACATGTGGACTCTGGCAGTTGTCCATAACATGTTTCCTTACCCCTACAATTAACCCTTTTCATCCAATGGACGAGATACATAGTATATTCTAAACTTGTTCTCTTTCCGTGTGTATCTGTGGTGTTCGGCATTTAATGAAAAGAAACTGGTTCTGCCATCTCTTGTCACTTTTATATAAACATCCACTGCTTTATGCAAGTTTAATGTAAGTTAACATTGAAATAGATCGTAAGATGTGTTTATAATGGGAAACTTAGCATTAGAAAGGCTGATAAAATGTCGTTAAATAATCGATTGATTACATTAGATCAAAATATAATTTTATATTTTATAGAATGTGTTTTCGTGACCAATATATTATCGTAAATAATATAATTTTATATTTTATAGAATGTGGTTTCGTGACAAATATATTATCGTAATTTCTGATATTTGCTCTGATATTTGACTTGTATAAATTACGTAGTCGATAAATGAAGTTTTGTTGTATGAAGAAGGGACTTGGCTGTTGAATAGTACGTTTTGTCCAACCCTGGGGACGCTAGCGTCTGGACATTTGGTGGGGTTAGAATGAGCAGGTGCTGATACACGCTCTGCGTAACATTGTGTTGTAAATATCGATTGTGGGTACGAACCTTGGCACTAGCAGTTACTGGATTATTAAGGTTCAAGTGGGTTCACAGATTGACATCTCTTCTCGAAATTTCTACCTCTTCCCAAGGACAGAAATAATGTTCATGTGCCAACTGATGAATTTAGTTTAATGTTATCAATAAAAGTATATGAAGTAAAATAAATTAATATATATATTTCATAATCATTAATTTTCGCTTTCCTTTAAAATATTTTATAGGAAGTTTAAAGATATTCAGGATGGATTAGAAATGGGTAAAACCAGTTTTTATTATATTAATTCATTAGGAAGAATATAAATACAAAGACGTTGTATCCGGCAGCTCTTGGTTTTACCCAGTGCTTCTAAGAAGATAAATTTATAATACCTTAAAATGTGAAACGGGAGGTTTTCAATATCGTAACCACTTCATTATCCGTTAATCATCAGATTAATTAACACCGTCTTTAAATAAACTCATACGTTATGTGCTAGAATGGAGATTGAATTCTAAACGCAGAGAGAAATATGTTCATGTCATTAAAATGTAGGACATTAACTAAAAGAAACATTCGAATGTATGTTAAAATAGTTAAGAAATTATTTTTATAATACGTGTACTCTGTTGGAGTATATATTTGTTTATATTGGCTTGGGTTGTGTATTAGTTTTAAAGGTCTTACAGATATCTTGGCTTCAGAAACAATTATGTATAATGTATGTTAGGTTTAACAGCGTGAAAATTATAATGATGTTACTCTGTTTCAGGTAAGGTTATGAACGGAAGATCTACAATCATGCAAACGTATTATTGTTACTATCTACTTTATGACGTGGAAGGAGAGATTACGTGAACAGCACTGGGCACTAATGGATTATAAACATTTAACGTGAGTGCACTTAAATTTCAAATATTTAATTAATTAATTGTTTTTCTTCAAACATGGAATGTTTCACGCACCCAGGTTATATTTTTTTTAAATTCCAATCTCGATTATTGAATTATGTTAACGATTAACGGTCTACGTATATTATTTCAAAATTGAAGGCATTTGTACAAGCATGTCTTTTAAAACAATATCTCTGTATGGCATTGTAATCCTGGGGTCTCGGGTTCGATTCCCGGCGGTGCCCGAATTTATAACTTGTTTTGGGCAAGGCCGTGGTCTAGGCAACACGGAGTTTTCCTCCGTGGCATCCCAACAATTACTCCATTCACACACAGAAGAAGGCAATGGCAAACCACTTCTGCATCATCTGCCAAGAACGTATATGAACAGGCCCCAGTCCGAGAAAAGGATGGAAGGAGCCTGTTCATATGGACCTGTCGTCAGACAGAAAACTAAA